TATTTCTAGTTTGAGTATAGTTTATCATCAGGAATGGACATTGTATTTTGTGAAATGCTCTTTCTGCTTCTGATATAAACATGTGGTTTTTTTCCTTTAGATTGTTAATATGTTGGATTATGTTGATTAGTTTTCAAATGTTGAACTGGTCTTGCATTCCTGGGATAAACTGCTGTTGCTTCCAAGGTTTTTATATATTGCTTGATTCAATTTATAATACTTTGTGGAGGATTTTGCTTGTTGATGAGGGTTTTTGTGTCTGTGTTCATGAGAGATATTTATTTTTGTATTGTCTTTGTCTATTTTGGGTATCAGGATATTGCTGGCTTTTTAAGATGAATCAAAAGATGTTCTTTTGTATTTTCTGGTAGCAATTGTGTGAAATTGGTGTTATTTCTTTTAACATCTTTTCTATTGCTATTCCTTCATTTGCAATATTTTGTAATTATTTTCCCCTCCTTTCTGAAGAACTTTCTTTAGCAGTTATTTTAGAGCATGTCTGCTGGCTACAAATTCTCTTAGCTTTCTTTAATTTCTGAAGGATAATGTTCTCTCAATATAGAATTCTGGGTCGACGGTGTTTTTTTTTCCCCAGCACTTTAAAAGCCTTGGTCTACCATCTGCGGACTTCCATAGTTTCTGATGAGAAATCTGTAGTAATTCGTATCATTGTTCTTCTCAAACAGGAGCTGGCAGACTGTAGTGTGTGGGCGGACTATTTTCTAAATAAAATTTTAACAAAGCCACACCCACTTGTCTACATATTGTCTATGGCTAGTTTCACACTGCAGTAGCAATGGTGAGTAGTTGTAACAGAGACCACATGGCCTGCAAACCTAAAATATTTATGGTTTGGCCCTTCAAGAAAAAAGTGGCTGATCCCTGCCCTATGGGTAAAATGTTTTTGTTTTTTTTTTTAAGTTTTAAAAAAAATTTTTTTTAATGTTTATTGATTTTTGAGAGAGAGAGTTCGAACAGGGGAGGGGCAGAGAGAGAGGCAGACACAGAATCCAAAGCAGGCTCCAGGCTCTGAGCAGTCGGCACAGAGGCCAACACGGGGCTCAAACTCACAGACTGAGATCATGACCTGAGCTGAAGTCAGACGCTTAACCGACTGAGCCACTCAGGGGCCCCCCCTTTTTTTTAAGTTTTTTAAAAAAAGTTTATTTATTTATTTTGAGAGAGAGAGATCTGTGGGATCATGACCTGAGCCCAAACCAAGAATTGAACACTTAACTGACTGAGCCACCCAGGGGCCCCAGTAAAATTTTCTTTTACTCTGACTTCTTTCAAGAATTTTTCTTTTTAATTTTATTTTTTATTTTTTAAATTTTACATCCAAATTAGTTAGCATATAGTGCAACAATGATTTCAGGAGTAGATTCCTTAGTGTCCCTTATCCATTTAGCCCATCCCCCCTCCCACCACCCCTCCAGTAACCCTCAGTTTGTTCTCCATATTTATGAGTCTCTTCTGTTTTGTCCCCCTCCCTGTTTTTATATTATTTTTGTTTCCCTTCCCTTATGTTCATCTGTTTTATCTCTTAAAGTCCTCCTATGAGTGAAGTCATATGATTTTTGTCTTTCTCTGACTAATTTCACTTAGCATAACACCCTCCAGTTCCATCCACGTAGTTGCAAATAGCAAGATTTCATTCATTTTGAGTGCTGAGTGTATATATATACCACATCATCTTTATCCGTTCATCCATCAATGGACATTTGGGCTGTTTCCATACTTTGGCTATCGTCGATAGTGCTGCCATAAACATGGGGGTGCATGTGTCCCTTCAAAACAGCACACCTGTTTCCCGTGGATAAATGCCTAGTAGTGCAATTGCTGGGTCGTAGAGTAGTTCTAGTTTTAGTTTTTTGAGGAAGCTCCATATTATTTTCCAGAGTGGCTGCACCAGCTTGCATTCCCAAAGAATTTTTCTTTGTCATGACCTCAGTTTGTGGGATCAAGCCCTGTGTTGGGCTGTGTGCTGGCAACTCAGAGCCTGCTTGGGATTCTCTCTCCCCCTCTCTGCTCCTCTCCTGCTCACGTATATATGTGTGCATGCTCTCTCAAAAATAAATAAACTTAAACACTTTTTTAAAAAGAATTTGTCTTTTAGCAATTTGATTATGATGTGATCATTATAATGAGTTTCTTTGACTTTAACTTGTTTGCTCAGTTTCTTGAATTTGTAGGTATGTCTTTCACTGAACGTGCTAAGTTTTCAGCTGTTATGTCTTCATGTATTGTTGAGCACCATATCACCACACTGTTTTTCTCCTTCTGGGATTCTGAGTACATGAGGAATGTTGGATCTTTTGTTTTTGTCCACCAAGTTCCTGAGGCTTTATTCCTTTTTTTTTTTTTTTAAGAAATCTCTCGCTCTCTCTCTCTCTCTCTCTCTCTTTCTGATGTTCAGATTGGATAATTTCTGTTTGATGTATCTTAAAGTTTACAGACTCTTTCCTTTGTCTCCATTCTACTGTTGAGTTCCTCCAGTGAGCACCTCCTCTCCCCCAGTGAGTTTATATTTCAGTTCTAACATTTCCATTTGGTTCCTTTCCTATCTTTTGTTTCTCTACTGACACGTAAGATTTTTTTTTTTTTTTTTTTTTTTTTTATTTAAAAAAAAAAAATTTTTTTTTTCTTTTCAACGTTTATTTATTTTTGGGACAGAGAGAGACAGAGCATGAACGGGGGAGGGGCAGAGAGAGAGGGAGACACAGAATCGGAAACAGGCTCCAGGCTCTGAGCCATCAGCCCAGAGCCCGATGCGGGGCTCGAACTCACGGACCGCGAGATCGTGACCTGGCTGAAGTCGGACGCTTAACCGACTGCGCCACCCAGGCGCCCCGACACGTAAGATTTTAACTGACGTTTCTGGGGCACCTGGGTGGCTCAGTTGGTTGAGCATCTGACTTTGGCTCAGGTCATGATCTCACGGATTGTGAGTTGGAGCCCCACGTCGGGCTTTGTGCTGACAGCTCAGAGCCTGGAGCCTACTTCTGAGTCTGTGTCCCTCTCTTGCTCTGGCCTTCTCCCACTCTCTGTCTCTGTCTCTCTCAAGAATAAATAAAACATTAAAAAAAAAAGATTTTAACTCATGTTTCAAGAGTGTATGTGATTGCCAATTGGAGCATTTTTATAATCACTGCTTTAACGTCTGTCAGGTTACTACCAACTGCGTCATTTCGTCAGTGGCATCTGTTGATTGTTTTTCCCCTTGTGAGTTAAGATTGTCTTGGTTGTTTGTTTGCCAAATAGTTTTGTATTGTTTCCCGGACATACTGAACATTATATTGTTAGACTTTGGGTCTTCTTTAAATTTTATAGAGAATGTTGGTATTTTTATGTTAGCATTGTAGTTTGGTGGACATCCAGATGATCCAGAATATATTTATATTAATTTTTTCAAGATTAACTTGGAAACAAAGATACAATTTAGAAGATTGTCCCGAAGAATTTAGAGATCTCCAGGAATTCTTATACCCAACTTTGCAAAAAAGTGATGTAGAGAAATAGCAAAAGTAGAAAAAGGATTTAATAAATGAGATGTGTTATAAAGGATATTATGATATTCTCTTTTAATCTGTGTTTAGCATTTAAGATTTGTTATTACCTCTTCACAGGCCAAGATTGAGGAAGAGGCAGTAAACTTTTAAGTAACTTTCTTTCTTAGTAATTACAGGCTATGGGTATCAACTTCTGTTTTTTTACTGTAGGACTTAGATTTCATTTAATATTTGCTGTTTCTAGTTGCTTTTTCTTTTGGCTTTCTTTCCGTTTAAAATTCTGTTCTCTTGGGGGTAAATTGTTAAGTAACCAACATGTGTGTTGAAGAGTACTTTGTAACATATCAATGATCTAAAACGGTCAGTCTTAATTATCAAAACATTAGTTGTAGGATGTTAAGGATTGCATTTACATTTTAAATTTTCTTTAGGATACTATTTATAATTATACTTTGCTGGGCACCTTGTCTTAATGGATATGTAATTTGTGTAGCCATCATTTAATTTGTTATTCTAACATATTTGAGAGTATGTTATGTAAATAACAGCTTAATTTTGCTTAAGGAAATTGTTAGGCTTACGCTCTTTGTCTAGATATTTTTTCTTCACAGAATAAGGCAAAATGCAGCGGAAATTATCAGAGATTTTGCATCACTAGGGTCTGTGCAATACGCTGTTGGTTTTTTTTAGCTTTTTAGGTGTAGAGATTTGGCAATATGCATCTAAAAGCAACAGTTATGTAAGAAGTTTAGTGAAAGGGTTAGGATTTCATCTACCACTTCTGTTTGTGTGCCCTCAAGCAAGTTAGTGTTCTTTGCAGGCTGTTTCCTAATTTATAAAAGGGGTATAATAAGAATGATAACCAGTATCTAGGGTTGTTGGGAGGATTAAATGAGGTAATGCATGGAAAGAGTTTTAACAGTGTGACAGCCTATGTCTGTCAACCTAAACTATTATCATGTGATAAAAACTTACCTTTAGGAGCTCTTTGAGTTTGGGGATAAATACCTTTTTGTTTAATATTGTTCAATATAAAATAGAATATTTTATTTATATCTTTTATGTATAAGCTGGTAACTTCTTATGTTCTTTATTTTAGCTTTTCATTATAATTATTTGCTAAGTTATACTTAGTAACATGTTTATCTTTGTAAAACAGTAGGGATGTGGGAAACTGTCTCAGCTAATCCAGGACTCTGCAGAGAAAATAATCAAGGTTAGAAATAAGACATAGCTCCATATTTTCAGCACAGGAAGCAAATGTATGTGCTCATTTAATTATTAACTTTGTAATTATTTTAGAAGCTGTCAGATAAATAAAAGGACAGTTATTTGTCTTTTTCTGTATCAGGCTTCCACTTTGTTTTTACTGATGCTGTCTTAAATGTGCACATACAACTTGGTTTTTGGGACCTCTTCATAATAGAATGATAAGCTCTTGGTTGAACTGTCAAATTACAGTGGTCTATTGTATCTTTTTTTGTCTCTAGGATGATTGAGGAAAGTGGGAACAAGCGGAAGACCATGGCAGAGAAGAGGCAGCTGTTCATAGAAATGCGTGAGTCTTGAGTGCTTCTGGAGCCCTTGTTTGTATGTGTGGGGATGCCTTTTTTTTTTTTTTTTTTTTCTGATCAAGTCACATCTTTAATCCTTAGCACATTCCAAGCTTTAGAAAAGGGAAAAAAGGGAGTTGAAGAATCATGGAGTTGGAGGACCTCAAGTCAGAGCATATATTGTAATTGAGTTGACCTGAATTGCTTTCTTTCTTTCTTTTTTTACATATTTATTTATTTAAATATCTACAGCCAACATGGGGCTTGACCTCATAAACCCGAGATCAGGAGTTGCATGTTCTTCTGACTGAGCTGGCCAGGTGCCCTGACTTGAATTACTTTCTTAAGTAAGATCATGAATACTAAGGCAGAAATGTTACCTAGCATATCTATGAGTTTACGGCACACCAGTCAGTTTGTTTGTTTGTTTGTTTATTTATTTATTTATTTATTTATTTTTAAGATTTTATTTTTAGGTAATCTCTATACCCAAGCTGGGGCTCAAACTCATGACCCTGAGATAAGAGTCACATGCTCTACTGACTGAGCCAGCCAGGTGTCCCAAGGCACACCAGTCAGTTTAGACCTCTTGTTGTAACTCCATTGTTACCATGAGCTTGCAGGTGGTGATAAATAATTAATACATTATATAAATTAAGTTACACTGGATACAGATTCTGAGGTATAGAGGACTAAGTGTTAAAACTTAGAGCTATAGGAATAATTAAAAGTACAAATGTATAGTTTGGTATATTACTTTACAGTACGGTTTTAAATCTTGTTAAAAAATTATATTCTTCTATAAAACTCAAAGAGAAAGATGGCCGAGAGAAGTGGGTCATTTCCCAGTATTTGAATGACTATTTTGGTCTCCGATTACTTGTCTATGTGACCTTGACTCGTGCATTCATACTTGGTGGACCACAAATTCCTTTGCCATGAAATAGGGTTATTGGTCTGTACCAGTGTTCATGATTGCTTTTAAAAGCATTGTACTCTTTTTAAAAAATGAGATCTTACAAGGACCCTCAACACGAGAGTGTCATAGAATTGGTACTGCTTGGTTGAAGAGGGGAGGCAGGAGCCCTGCCTGACATAGCCCCTGAGATACTTGTAGAATTCTAGAATTCTGCATATCACAGAGTAAAAATCAGTAGATAAAGTCTCAGAAGCCTCTTTCAACAAGCAAGATATTTTAAATCTTAAGAGTCTTAGTAACGGGAGGCAGAGTTTGACTTAACTGAGATCTATGTTGTCCTGTCAAGCATAAGCTAGAGAAGTATGGAAGATGTCAGAGAAGAAATTTGTGGCATTGGGTGGGCAGTCAGTCCGGGCGATCTTTAAGGAGTTCTGTAGTTCCGAGTCTCTAATTGCTAGTCATCCAAGCCAGACACCCTGCAATCACTTCCCTCCACCTCACCTTCCACCTCCAAAGAAATCACAAAGTGCTGCTGAGTTTTACCTCTTAAGGGACTCCTGAATTTCTCATGCCTTAGTGGCTTTAAATCCAGGCTCTGCTGTGAGACTATCCGTGTTTGGATCTTGGCTCCCTCATTTTCTGGCTGTATAATCTTAGGTGAGTTACTTAATCTCTGTGCTACTACACTTGTCCATAAAATGGGGGTAGTATCTATTTCATAGAATTATTGTCAAGATTAAATGAGATAATGTCAGGCCTTTAACACGGACACAGAATAGTAGGTATTTAATGTGATTAAATGTGTTTAATATTTTTATCATTGTTACTTTTCTGAACTAAAAGCAATCTGTTTCGGATCCCTTCTTCCAGTGTCAACCCCTTCCAATCTGTGATCCGTGATGCTGCCAGTTGAACTGCAAAAATCTGTGTTACTTCCTTCATAAATCCCTTCAGTTGCTCCTCATCGCTTTCCCAAGAAAGTCCAAGCTCCTGGCCATGCCTGGCAAGGCTCTCCTGGCCTCTTTTTCCCTCAGTTCATAGGTTCCTGGTTTCCATCACACACCATGGGTGTCCCAGTCATACTGAAGTGGCTTTTCCCACATCGATCATATGTTTGATGTCTCTGTGCTTTTGCTCATGCTGTTCGGCTCACCTTCATCTGACTCGTTGTTCCTGTTTGCTGTTCAAGGCTCAGCATAGGGGTCATCTTTTCTATTTAATTTTTAACACATTTATTGATGATCTATTATGTTCCAGGAATTGTTCTAAGTGCTAGGGTTAAGGTGAGAACAAAACGTAGTGCCTGACTATCCTCATATTGCTTACACTTTATACCTCTCTACACTTTGGCAAGGGGGAAACAGGCAAAATAAGGAGTCCAAAGAAATAAACGATAATTCCTGATATTAAGAAGTACCGGCCTGGGAGTGGGGGGATGCCTGGGTAGCTCAGTTGGTTAAGTATCTGACTTTGGCTCAGGTTATGAGTTTGAGTTCTGCATTGGGTGAGCTCAAGCCCCACTTCGGGTTAGCTCTGGTTCTCTCTCTTTCCCTCTTTCTCTGCCCTTTGTGGGAATTCTCTCTCCCTCCCTCCCTCCCTCCCCCCCTCCCTCCCTCCCTCCCTCCCTCTCTGCTCCCTCACTCACTTGCCTCTCTCAAAAAAAAAAAAGAAGAAGAAGTGGGAGGGTGGGGTGGTGCCCAGGGATATTGACTTGGTTGAGGTCTGACTTTGGCTCAGGTCATGATCTCAGCTCAGTTGAGTCCTGATTTGGGCTCTGTTGTCTGTAAGCAGGTGCTGCTTTGGATCCTCTGTTCCTTTTTTCCCCACTCACATGCCTCTCAAAAATAAATAAACATTAAAAATAAAAAAGAAGTGCCTGGGGTGGCTTCAGGAACAACATGGGCATGTGAGAGAGTACAGTGATGGTCTATATTTGAATAGAAATTATGGTGTTCTGTGAAGAAAACTGGGTTTACTGCTTAGTGGTCATTATTCTGATACATGAGCCCTGGATACTACTTCCCTGCAACAAACTCATGCATTTTGATGGTGTTTGAGATGTGCTTGCAGGCCTTGCTCTCTTTCCCATTTGAGATGGTACATTGGTGGCATTCCATTTCTGGATGCCGGCATTCCTCTTTTGCCAGCCTTTTATCTGTAGTTCCCCTGCGATGGTGAAATGTCTTTTTTGCCTTGGGTTGGTTATTTCATGTATTCAAGTTTGATGTTTGAATTCAGGATTCTCCACTCTTTTATACTCTCAGTGGCTTCAATAGATTTTACTTAAAAGTGACCAAAATTTTTTAA